AGGGGACGGTCCTGGAAATTCGCATTGGACCAGAAATACACAGAGTTCTTGGGGATCTTTTCTGTCAAACTGTTCAGGCTCACGGACCTTGGTCCGGAGAGCGGAGGATGGTGGAGGTGGTGGGCATCCGGTGTGACGAGCCAAACTGGCGATAGCTTGGGCTAGTTGTGTAATAGCCATGTTGGGGATGGGTTCGGCATTGTCGGTGGTTGGGACAGTGGGGATGGGAGGATCAGCAGGAGGAGGGTTGACGAAATCGGGGACCTCGGAACCGAGTCCAAAGAAGTGAACAGGGTCTATGGGCTGTTCCGTGGTGTCTCCGAAGTTGGAATCTGCAACTGGTGATCGATTCCTAACAGGATGCATGATCGGAGTCGACAGGAGAGGAGTTTCTAGATTAGAAAAGCTGCGAAACTCAACTGGGTTTCTCGCCAATTGACTAGGACCAGGCTGTGAGGGTTCTGGGGATGGTGAGGCAGAGTTGGGAACTAATGTGCATAGTTGCAAATGAGTGCAAGGGGCTTTTGGTGCCATACAAGATGTGTACTAGTCAGGGAGTAATAAAATACTGTCAGAGACCGGATCGAGATGAAGGAATGTCTCCGTGGCAGAGGGCTTCAGCCTCAGCGACTTATGCCAGGAGCGCTGTGCCAAGTTACATGTCCATGCCCTAATTTACTTACTGGCAACGAGAACTAAAAGGGGGTCAACTCTAGTCGATTTTATTACTGAGGTGTAACCTATGTACAAGTTGAGTATATATAGTTACAACGAGGGCAGGCCCGTAAATGGCAGGGCCAAGTGGAGCGGAGCTAACGGAGTTAAACATTAGCTGATTGAATATTACTGACAAGTTGGGTTATGGGGTTAGTGGAATGATAGGCGATAACTCAGAAATGGAAAGGAGGGATAGGCCCAAAGGTGGGCTTGCAGGGCAAGCGAGTGTATTGCCCACCAGAGGCAGGAGTGCGCTAGCGGACATCGGAGCTGTCCAGAAGCCTTCAGGGCTCCATACTTAGGGAGGCATAGGTAATAAATTGAAAAGAGGGGGTGGTGACCATCAAGGGATGCAGAGGTGATTGCGGAATACAGGAGCTCCGAGGTTAGTGAAGAAGGAGTGGAGATAGTCTGGAGGGATCGGAGGCAGTGGAAGTCGATGGCCGTGGATGGATATGACATCCGCAGTCTATCCCCAGTGTAAGAGGAGAGAAACACAAGTAGGGATGCACAGCATGTTTGGCATCGCAGTACCCATACAGGGTGCTCAGTGTTGGATGCATCCATGCTACAAATGGGGAAAAGAGAGAAGTTGTCTGTATAAGGATAGAAAGGAAAAAGAGAGAGGAGAGAAAGAAGGAAAGGAGGAAGGAGGGAGAGGGAGAAAGAGAGGGCAGAGAGCGGTGCAGTGCAGCGTGCCCTGACAGTAACCCAAACAAGGGTACAACCCACATCAAAACGGATAAACCAGGGGGCAACAGCTCAGGTAGCACCATGGTGAGGAGTTGCAAAGACACTCGAGCCAAGGGCCACTGACAAAGAGTGTCCAGCCCCCAAAATAGGGTTGAAAGCAATGCTGGGCTCTGGATCCACTGGGTAGTTCCATAGAACTAGGTAGTTCGCTGATCTACCACACAGCCTATGTGCGGTAAGCTTGGTGTCCCCCATAAACGACTCATGGAGTCATGGAGGTAATCCTTGGTTACCATCCAGAAAAACCCCTCTGACACAGCTCAACCCCAACAGTCATTCGCCCCCAGTGAACCTCAACCCCCTGTCTGTCATATCCCAGATCTTCTGCCTCCCTCTGCCCTATCCCTATACGACTCCTATGACCTCCACCAGCCCTCCCAATCTCTCTCTGCTGCCTCTGGTTGATGCCAACGACCCTAGGATTACCTCTTCACTTCCAGTACCTCCTTACCTCCGGTACCCCCCCATATTCCTATTTTACCTCTGGTCTTGATAATCTTTTTTTCTACAACCCCAATCTTCCAGACTACAACTTCCGGGCTCTGGACCTTTCTGGACGCCTTTCTCTGTAGTTCCCTGCTTGTTCATAGACGATTCCAGACCTTGCCATTCAGTTGGCTTTTAATTCTCTCACTCCACAAACCTCAGATGTAATTTGGGCTTTTCGCCTAGTCCTTATTTGTCTTGTGGATTCTTTTCTATTTACTTCCCCTTCCCCTTGGTAACCTTTGTTTACCTTCAGATCCAATTGTTTCCACTATATGTATGCATGTACCCCTCTAGTAAATAATTCCCCCAGTTATAATATAAACAGTCTTGAGCCCTCCAAACCCTCCTCCAGGACGTCTATCACATCTGTCAGAGTCTGAATTACTGTCAGAGTCGGACATGCTGTCAGAAGATGGACTGAAGATGGATGTTTGGCAGAGGTCTGTTGGAGCGTGCACATGCGGATATGCGGGTGGAGATATGCGGCGCATCCGGAAGTGCTGTTCAAGGTTAGTGGAGTGGGATCATGGCCTCAGCGACTCAAGTGGAGCGCTCTGCCCTGAGCTTGACGTTTGGGGGAGATCCCATATTTACAGAATGACACCTACAGCAGACTTCAAACAAGACTTGCAAGCAGAGCAGACCTGTAGGAGGAGTGCAGACTCTGCAAGCACCGACTCAGAAGGGGGAAAGCCCCTTTGCAGAAGGAGGGACTCAGACCAGACAGGGGGGGGGTGGTCTAGTTGATTTCAGACTCAGGTCCCTGAAAGTATTTACAGGTCCGCAAATAAGCGGGGTCGGTGCAGTGCCGACACAAGTCCGTGAACAGAGGTTGATCTGTCAGCACTGTCACACAAGGACAGCATGAAGGCCAACAGAAGTACAGAGGGGAGTGGGAGTGTTGACCTGACCAGAGGTGTCAAGGGCAACCAGAAGTGGCCAGAGGGTGCAGAGATGGGCAGGGGGCACAGAGTGGGCAGAGGGTGCAGAATGCACGGAAGCAGGGCATGGCTGTGACCACATAGCGGGAAGCAATGAGTGTGGTTCAGATGGAGACAAGGCAGGCATAGGAATTGGAGGGACTGAATGCCAGGAGCACCAAGGGCTTGGGAACTGGAGGTAAGGTCGGAATACCGGCAGGGTCTAGGTTCTGATTGTTGGCCAAGTCTCATGCAATAAGGCAGGGGGCCAGACAGTGGGTTGGGGGCTGGTTAGGATGGGTTTCGGGTGGGCAGATTCCCCTATCAGCATTAGTTCGTCTATCGGCATTGATTTGCTGCTGACGGAGCCCTGGGATTTGTCGGTCATGACAGCGTCCCACTTGTCTGCTGCTCTAAAGAACTGAGTGACAGGGGCTCCTAGAGACACCTTGGTATAAAACCCAAACGAATGGCATGATGAACAATTGACCCTCGCTAACGCCTCCTTCATTAAGTAGTGAGGGGGGGGGCTTCTGGCCCCCTTCTGCTGGTGGCCTCAGTTCCTCCATCACCAGCTCCCCTGACAAATTGGGGACAACGAGAATGTACCAGGTGCAGCACTCCATTCCGAGTCGCTGAAGCCAAGTCCCTTTAACACCCCGTCACCCTCAGAGCTCCACCCCACCTCTGGTCTGTCTCCGACCCACCATGGGACAACCCGGAACACCGAGCTCCACCCAACAGCGTCACCTGGATAGCGATCGGACCTATCCAAGGAACGTTGCAAGTGGGCTAGAGATCTAACCCCCTAAATGCAAGCAAATTCGTGGGGAGGGAGTCCGGGATGTCCTAAGCTCGTCCTAGGTTCCGTCCAACTGCTAACAAAACAAAAATAATCACAAACTCGTTAAGAATTATGTACCCCTGGTCCATCTTGGACAATGGTCAGGGATTCCTTATAATACTCAAGGAGTCAAGCTTAGAATTTCTCTCTTTTTCTTGGATCTCTCAGTGCTACAGTCTCTTTGTAGTCAAAAGGGAGGTCACTTTTCCATTCCTACATGTACAAAGCTTTTAAACACATGGAACAGCAATAATGTGGAAAAACAAATGAAAGGAAAAATATAAAATGAAGGATTATTGTTACGGACACCATGTGGACCGTTAAGTATGGCCGATAAGTCCAACGGCCGATGTGGAAGTTCAATAAAAAAAGACAGGAGTGATAAGCAGGCCATATCCGCTAATAATTGCCGTTCTCCACCAATTTCCACCATCACACTACACTCATCCATCTCTTCCTACCTGTAGCATCCTTTCCCCACCTCTCCATTCGATTCCCCAGGTTCATAGCTTTCTCCCGATACTAAATTTGTCCCAAATGGTTGAGATTTGACCAAGTGGCAGGCGTGAGAATCGTAAAATTGGCCCGTGCACAGGGTTAGACATCCTGGAAAGTGTTTGCGAGAGTCCCCGTGTCAATTGGATCTTCATATGCATCCTTTGTGATTTTTCTGAATTTCTCTGAGCACATTTTGGTTGTTTGTTTACTTTGGTACAGCTTGTGATTTCCATTTTGGGCCGAAAACAAGTTTCACGATCTCCCAAAGTATGGATCTCGGCTCCGCCACATGGGACTTTTGACACTGCCACCCTCATGTGCCTTTCGACATTGTGCGGAACCTCACGGTAAGGTGATAAATCATCACCACCATTCTTCCACAACGGCTGGGTCGATCTGGACGAAATTCGGGGAATCCATAGTTATGATTTTTCTCTATTTATTGAGCCCTTGATCGTCTTTTGGTGGCCAGTAGTGCCAAGCATAGTTTTTGGGCTGGACCAATTCAGTACCAGCGCATTATGTGCAATTGTACTCCGTAATAAATGAAATAAAATGTTCTTATGCACCATTGGCATTGGTAGGTGATCATCGCATATGGGAAATCCTTAAGGAACGTAAAACCGCGAAAATATTGGCAGTGTAGGGTATAGTAGGTTATCCTGCCTACAACGTCTTCTTGACACTGTCCCCCTCACCCCCAAAGATGAACCCATGCTGGAAGCCCTCTTCTCTAACAAAAAACTCAACCAAAAATTAAAACCCATCACCACTTGACCATGGAGAATGCCACAAACATACCATTTCAATTTGCCTCTACCAAGCCAGCAAATGTCAATGAAGACCTATATGAGCCCCAGGACTCTTCCAACAACCCCCCAAGCCCCCTAACAAACAAGGGTAAGAAAATTGAAAAGGCTGCCATATTCCCCCAGGCTGCTCTGCAACTAGATGTGAGAAAACATGCCAGATCCCCAATGGCCACTAAAATGCAAGGCCCCTTCAGGCCCCCCCCCAGAATCCACCTCCACAACAGACTCAGCTCAAAGCCACCTGCACACTCCCCCCTCCAGCCTACTTCCCAGGAGGTTCCCAATGATGTTACCCCAAATGGCACATTCCTCCTACCAAATATATAGCCCCAAAAGAGTTTCCCCCAGCCCACTGCCCTAACACCGAAACCGAGGAAACCAACAATGCCCAGGACCTTGCAATGTTTGAAACAGTGATGGCTGAGAAACCACAGGATGGAAATGAAGACTATAACTGGATGGGCCTCAGGCAGGACCTCGAAAATTTCGTAGCGCATGGACTCCGCCCCACCAGTCTCCTAGAAGGTGCTAACCCCACCAGAGTGAATGAATGGATGCTAACCAAAGATGCCATCCTAGTCTTACCACTGGATGCCACCCACAGTGGGAAGTCGCCCCATCAGATTGTACCGGGTTGTACCGTCACTTGATCGGAAATGCTGGGAGTCCCTATCAGCTTTTTGCAACTGCTATAGCTGCTAAGTCGCATGTAGTACCGGGGCTACCCAGCATCTAAATTTTGACCTACATCGATCGCAAAATATGATATCACGCATTATATTAACCTAAGTTCTACATCGTCCTCTTTAAAGTCCGTTCTAGCGTAGTCTGTGCTTCGATCCACAATCGCCCATTTTTCCCCTACTCACCCGTACTTGAAGCATCCCACCACCGCACAAATTGCAGCCAAGTCAACAATGGCACACGGGCCTATTTTGGTGAAAGTAACAATGTCCTTGGCTGCATCCTTTCCGTCAGTTTTGCAGTCGCTGACCAGTGCAAGAATAAAGCGACGTGGTTCCATAGTCCGAAGTGAAGGGTTTGGGGGTATAATAATCTCAAGTATCATCTCGAGTGTACCATAGTGGATGATGCGAACAAAATCTGTTGCCGAAAACTTGGAGAAAGCATTCCTATCAGCAAGAACTTCGTACTAGCACCATAGTTAGTAGGAATTGAGGATAACTAACTGAAATAAACCAGATCCTACTTACTGTCAGGGTCGTGCGTGCTCGCAACAAAGGATGCCCCCAAAACCAAGTTGATAGCAAAGCTGGGGGACATGCCCATGCCAGCAAAGGATATATATGTACACGGTAGAGATGGTAACTAGCCAACTAACTAATAACCGGTAGAAGCGGATCAAAGATGATAGAAGATCACATGGCATCATAACCGATACCATGTGACCAGATCAAATAGAAGATCAGAAGCGGAAAAGAAGAAGAACCTGATGGGGATACGGGTCATGTGGCACTGCGCTACTTACACTAGCGACCCGAAGACGTGCCCTGACACTTACGCATACAAATGAAGCATCTTGTGAGCGATCTGCATAAAGATCTTGTGCGGATTTCACCCTTATACAATCTCCACCATTGGCGATTCGTACTTTTCCCCATGCAGTGAATGTTTCAGGGATTACTCGTTTGGCAGTTGAAATGCGAATATTGAAGACCGTAGTGAGGTACGCTGCCACAAGGTTTCGCAACCAGTCCGTGAAAGGTTTCCCACCTCTCCTTGGGGGCTGAAGAATGGAATGGGGATCTATTGTAGGTTTTTGAGCCATGAAGACAAACAGATTGACTAGAATGCACTAACACTCTTTATATACGACCTCATAGTGGCTTAGCTCCTTTTTAGATGGCGTTAGCTGTAATGCTTCAAATAACTCATAACGGGTCTGTATCTCGTTGAACAGTGCCAGATGATATTGCCGCATCGCCAAGCTCACAAATGGGCGTTTGTGAGATTTGACAGCAGGTAATAGGTGCTGGCACCATCTCTCCATCACAAACGTCCAATTGTAACATGGAGGGCCATTGGTTTTGATGTCATCGGCTATGTGGAGGAGGGCATGTACTGCTAGGGTACATACGGAGAGTCGATCAGGCTTGAATTGGTAATATATACTGTGCGTGGAGATGACTGCTGTCAGTGGAAGGCGAAGATACAGTGTACAATTCTACTTACCTTTCATACTCTTGGATATAATCGATGACTCTTTCGTGCAGGCTACCCAGTTCGGCATCTGTGAACGAAAACTGGAGAGTTGTCTTCATGATACTGTGGAATTTCATGAAATGCTTATAGTATTTCGGCCGAAAGAAGCGTCTGTCGAGAACATAGGGAGCAATGAAAAGAGTCCAGAAAGACCAGTCTTCAGCGGTGAATATATGTTGTTCTGTAGCAATGTTAGGTGTGCGTCGCCCAAATGTAGATGGAATTGTATTGCTGGCTTCTGCTGTCTCGCATCCAATTGCATCCCAGACAGCAGGAGCAATTACATAGCATTCCTTGCCTTCGTCAAGGCCTTTGTATTTTCCAGTCCAGAATGAGACAAGGCTCTTGCAGTGATTTTCCAGAAATAAGTGCATCCAGTCATGTGGAAATGAGCGCATCATTCGGATCGAGGGGATTTCGGCTAATATTGATGGTTTGTTAATACCATATTTTTTTGAGAGCGCTTTGCGATGACCAGAATTCCACTTGAGGGACGATATGAGCTCTGATTGAATCCGAGTAGACTCCTCAGTGCGCAGTGGGAGATTATGAGCGTCCCATGAAACTTGAGGCATGTGTGGATTATCTTGTGGATGGTTGAGAGGAACATAGTATGGCCCTTTGTTGCCCCTTATACCCTTTATCATACATGACCGGCATGGACGAAGACCATTTGGGCCCTTGTAGCACATGCAATGCTTCATAGCCACCATGTCGCCATGGCATGATATTGGATAGACGTGCAGCTGAAAGGATTTGCTTATTGAGATATCGAAAGACTGGACCCCAGCAGCGAGGTATTTGCATTCATTTACGAAGGGCCACTCAAATGAGTTGAAATCGACAGGGGCTTTGGGGCCCGGAATGATGGAAAGGGGAATAATGTTTGACAAATGGGTGCGGATCTCAGGTGGGAGATTGAAGTTGATGGCAATGAGCGGCCAGCAGGTAGATGAGCCATTGCGCTGACGCTTGAATATATGAAAGCCATCTATCATAAGACCGATTGCCACATCGCGAGGGTCGCTAAAACACTTATGAGAGAGAGGGGTTCCATTGTTTTCCACTTTTTCCCCCAAAAGGCTCTGGTAGTTACTGCCATCAAAAACATCGTTTATTTCTCCAGGAATCGCCTTGTATTTTGATCGATAAGAGAGTTGATGGACCATAGTCTTGTTTAGGTACATTGACTGGACATGTGGCAGAAGGGGAGTGTAGCGATAGAGTTGGCATGGAGCACCGGATTCATTATAACGAGGTTCATGGCAGTAGGGGCACAGGTCTAGGTCACTATAAGTCCCAGTAAAAGCACAGCAGGAGTTGACACAACAGTTGTATATCTCCTCAGAGAGATCTGCCAGTTTGGCCATTCAACGATGTAGGCAATAGAGTGAGAGAAGGCTTAAGGACGTGCGATAGGCATAGCGGATGTAATTATGAAGCTTCTGCGATATATTGCCTTTGAGTTTGATATTAAACATGATGAGATTATCGATGTCTTCTTTGGTAAGAGTGTCACGCTCTTGTAAGGTATGTTAATGAGCAAAAGAGACACTGTGTAGTATGAGGTGATCTAGGCATACCAGCATCCCAGAGTCCTTTTTCAAATTGGTCATTTTCATATGCATGGATCGCTTTGTTCCATTCCTCAATTTCATCATCATCAAAATCATCGTCAAAAACATCCGGGTTATCGCCAGCAAAGATGGGCTCTCCATTTCCAGAATCACTGAACCCAAATTTCTCCTGAAAGTGACTTGCAACATTGGGACTCAGATGACCGCTGGTGATATCATCGTAACGGGAACGGGGATCATCAATGGCCATATTGACACCATGAAAAACCTTTATAGAGAGATTAGAGCATGTTTGTACAAACAAATATACAAATTTTTATCTTGCGTACCCGTTCAGAGCTTAGTCTGCTCTCCGTAGCCCCAGAATCCAATGCAGCATGGTCAGCCTGTGGCTCATCAGGAGCTCCAAATGAGGATGGCCGCAACAGCTCCAGTTCATGTATGCGCCTTGCCTTCAGATGGCGGTTTATCTGGCTCCGAGATAATCTAAGTGAGCAGCAGGGGCAAGACTCTTTGTTTCCCATTATTGCAGGAGAGCACGTGTCAAAGATTGAGTCTTTGGAAATAGTAGTAAACAAAACAAAACAACGCGTCTTGTCACCCCCCATGGCTTCATCTTCAAATGCATCAATCGACAGCGACAATGAGTCTCTCAGAAAAGCTAAGCTGGAAAAGGCATACCGATATATAGAAAGTGAGTTGACATGTCTGCCACACTCCCAGTCCCATCATGGCACACAGTAAGATGCATCTGATATTTTACATATCCGGTATGTATAGGGCATGGAAAGGGTCGTACACGCTCAAAATCGCCCTCTTACAATCGTAAACGAAAGCATCAAAATGCACATGCTGGCCCAAGTCATAAAAAGCCACAAGAGCACGTCATTAAGAAGCCAAAGGGGGAGGTCGGAAGAGCTGCCCCTCGTGGCTACAATCTTCAGGAAGCCATGGGAGTAAGTGACCATGTCTATAGGAGTTACAGGGTATGTGTTTCATATTCCTTGGAAATCTGCTCATTTCAATGCTTGCAGAATACTGCGCGAGCTGCTGCGATCTCATACATCACTAGAAGTGGCCACCTTTGGACGACCTTCAGCCAAATCCCGTCAAACATTATTGCAGCAGCCTCTCTTTTTGAAAGTTATTACTTGGTTTCCTGGAACCCACAATCTGACATTGTGAATAGATCCACCGTACGCACCCGGAGCTGAAGTCGAGGTACGAAAATGAATGGGCAACAACAAAACTACTCTCGACAGCGGTGGGGGCTCAGAGAAAGGGTGAAAATAGGGAGGGAAAAGGTGAATCATTTATTACTATTACTCCCATTGTGAATGCTATCATTCCTTACAGGTCGGAACCCATCCACTGAAGATGGGGGTGAAGATCGCGAAGGTAATAATCTGGATGATAGGTGTGCTTCTCTGGATTTAAGTGGCGATGGGAATGAGGGTGGCCGTGAACCGGATGATCCTAGTCAGGGCAGTGATGACTACTGGCAGCTTGAAGGCAACCAAGACACGGCTTCAGAGGACGAAGAACCACAACTGGATAGTGACAATGAAAACTGCGGCATACAAGTGACAAAATTCAAATTTCAGCCCTGGATTATTACCTGTCAGCCGGCAAACCTCAAATTTGTGTCCTGTGCTCTCTTCAGCACAAAGCGATTCGAAAAGGGCAAGAAATGCCAATAAATCGATCCCAAAAGGTGAGTGTTTATCTTGACAACCCAACATGCTCAATTGCAGCGCAAATTCTAGCTGCACCTATCGACCCGCTTGCCAGCCCCCAGCCAACCATCACTATCGAGCCCAAGAAGTTGTGTACCCGGAAAAGTCAGTAACAATGAAGATGGTTGTCTTCCACAACTTTAGGACTCATCACCTTCGTCCCATAGATGCGAGAAAGAGGAACTAGCTGCTATGTCAATTCACTCGGTGAGCATATGAGCGCCTAATATACACTTGCGCAGTAACTCTTCTATCCAGGTTATCGCGCACGCTCGATTATTCCCTAATGCATGCTCATTCTTGTCACAACTTTCCGTCCCCCCATATTGCTGATGCATGTTCATCACAAGTCTCCCTATGGCAAGTCGGAACTTTGCTATATATTCACCCAACTCACTTCCACCCCTTTGCAGATTTCCATCTCAACCTTACCCTAAGTCCATCGCCCATCTCCACTACCTTAGTATATTTATGTTCGCTGCATCTCTGACACTTCGGTAGCAAGCGCTATATATGATATCCGGTGCACCCATGTACACTACAATGCCAAATTAATATATTATAATTCACCGTTAAAACTGCTGGGGCCACCAATCAATACTTCCTGGGGCACCCCGTCAGGATGGCCCCGTCAGACTGCGCATATCTGATAGGAGGCCCGGCACTCGAAATCTGATGGTTGGCCCTGTCAAATAGTGACGGGGCTACCTAGCAGGGCTGGTACCAGGGCAACCCTACACCATCTACTGGGGTTACTTCCCACTGTGCACCTACAATGAAGAAAATGCATGCAAGTTGTCATATCCATACATACCCGATCCTGAACCGACTCCCAGACCCCCATTTCCCCCACCTCCAGAGTCCTACCCTACCGCTGTCGGTTCCGAACCGAACACCACACCTCTTGCCACCCTCCTCCTCTCACTCCTGCTCTCACTCCTGCTCTTACTACTCCTCTTACTCCTCATGACACCTCCACCCTTCCATCACTTTCCTACCCTTCTCCCATCTGCTCCGATACTCACCTTCGGACCTGACACCTTTCCTCTCCTCCACTCCTCCCCCCGCTCCTCTCTTCTCTCTCCTCCCTCTGACCCTCTTCTGCCAAACCTCCGGCAAGTTACAACCTTCCACTGCTGTCCCATACCCTGTACTCAGACACCACTTGTACCTTCACTCCGAGATTCCGTCACAGATCCGACCTCGGACTTTGACTCCACCTGGGCTTAAGTCCATTGCATTGGTGACCTCATACCACATAAACACCATTGCCAACATTCCTCAGACTTTCAACCCTGCCTCCATAAACTCCGTAAGCTCCACAACCTCTGAGCTTCACAGACCATACTCAGCACTTTCACCGTTTGTAATGTATCTTTCGCACTTTTCCCTCATCCTTATTTGGACTGCTGCTTCTTCCCATTCTAGCCAGTTAGTCATCCTCCCCACGTCACCTCATCCTCCTGCCCCTCTGGGCTTCGTGCCCTCCCTATCTCCTTTTGGATGTACCACAGGTTCTAAACCTATGACCTTCAGTGCCACTCCACTTTTGTTTTCCCCTTTGTCCCATTCAGATGCCTTTGTTCCGATTCGGACCCTCTTCGTTTCCTCGTGCTTTTGCCCTCTCCATTATATACCGGCGCTTGTAATACTCGTTTTAGGCCCTTAGTCTAAAATCGACTGAAATACCCCTAGAGACTTCCTGCTCAATGCCTCTGAAATTAAGGACCAAATGGACAAACAGCAATGGCACAGCACTCCGCATGAGTTGCTGAGGCCAAGGTCCCTCCTTGCTAAGTCTCTGATTCCCCTCCCGAATCATCCGCCCTCACCTCGTTTTTAACACAAGTTCCAGACTGACATGGAGATCTTCATCGATAGAGCATTCCCAGACCAAACTAAAAGAGTAAGAGTCATCCCCCCCTTCCCAGCTGAAGTGAGGAAAAAGAACCACCTGCAGTATGCCCAACCCTGGGGCTTCCTAGTTAAAGACCTCAACCCCCCCTATGCAGAACTCCTCATCAAGGAGCACCTGTGGACTAGAAAGGTTGCTTCGCAACCATGACCTTGCTTGCACATCACATGACCCTGCCATCTTCCGTCATCCTCCATCTATAGAACACATATTAGACCATGCATGGTTGAATCAGAAGCAGAGATCTTAGCATTGCAGTCTAGTAATTGTGTCTTTCACAGTGGTGTTCACACATATAGTCAAATATAATAATCGTTCTGAGTTGAATCAAAGGACAAATGCTGAAAATACTACGAAATTACTTATAATGGGAGGGAATGGAAGGGATGATTAATTTGCAGTGAACACATCGACAGAGCTTTTCTCGAGCTTTTGGCGTTTTACAGGTGAAAAAGATGGACCTGAGAACTGGCACTTCGAGGGGGATCCATTGTTAGTGCGAGAGCTGACAAGAGGGGTCAGGGGTCGGAGGACAATAATCTCCTCAATGCGTGTGGAGAAAGTCGCCTTTTTGCCCTCCGAGCTTCCAATTAAGTGGCAGGCGATGGTGAAAGAAATCTGCACAGTCGCTCCTGGGAGAGCACTTGCATAGTCTGTTGGTGGGATGACTCCATCTCCTTCACGATACACATGTAAAGGATTGGTTTGCCATCTTCGCTCCTTGAACATCTTGTCACGCACTGGGACATTTTCCTGTGATACAGGCCAATGCTGTAAGCCAAATTCGGGAGCCAAGAAGCCGTCAACTACCGCAAAAAATGGTCAGCTCATCCACGGAACATATGCAAGTGATTAAAGGAATGAACCTGAATCATCATCACCGTCAGCGCTGTCATCGCCATCGTCATTGTTATAATCTTCCGGCAACGCTGCATTTGCAATTTTTTTACTCAATGAAATGCTAGTGTGTTACCAATGAAGATACTCACCTTTGCCTTTGTTTTCTGTGGTGTGTTAGAATGGGTGGATTCAGACGACTCCGGAGTGGAATCGGAGACTTAGCGTGGAAGGACCTTGGCCTCAGCAACTCAAGCAGAGCGCTGTGCCATTGCTGTTTGTCCATTTGGTCCTTAATTTCACAGTAGGCGAGCAGGAAGTCTCTAGGGGGCATTTCAGGTCGATCTCGGACTGAGCCCAAAATGAGTATGTACAAGCACCAATATATATAATGGAGGGGGCAAAAGCACAAGGGAACAAAAGGGATCCGAATCGGAACGAAGACGTCGGAACGGGAACAAAGGGAAGACAGAAGCGGAGCGGTACCGAAGGTCATAAGGCAGAACCTGTGATACGTCCGAAAGGGGGTAGGGAGGGTGAGGCCCAGAGGGGCAGGAGGATGAGGAGAAGTGGGGATGATGACTAACTGGCTAGAATGGGAAGAAGCAGCAGTCCAAATAGGGATGAGGGGAAAACGCGAGTGATACATTACAAGCGGTGAAAGTGCTGAAGATGATCTGCGAAGCTTGGAGGTTGCGGAGCTTACGGAGGTGGGGTTGAAAGTCCGAGGAATATTGGCAATGGTGTTTACGTAGTATGAGGTCACCAATGCAATGGACTAAGACCGAGGTGGGGTCAAAGTCCGAGGTAGGGACTATGACGGAGGCTCGGAGCAAAGGTACGAGCGGTGCCTGAGTACGAAGTACGGGACAGCGGTGGAAGGTCGTAACTTGGTGGGAGGTCGGTGGAAGAGTACCAGAGGGAAGAGAGAGGAGAAAGGGAAGAGGGAAGGAGTAGTGGAAGGAGAGTTGTCAGGTCCGAAGGTGAGTATCGGAGTGGACGGGAGAAGCGTAGGAGGATGACGGAAGGGTGGAGGTGTTGTGAGGGAGGAGCCGAGGAGTAGTAGGAGGGTGGCGAGAGGGGCAGTGTTCGGTCCGAGGTGAGTATCGGAGCGGACAGAGATAGGGGAGGAGAGGGAAGGTGGAGTGGAGGTGGCATGGGAGGTAAAAGGAGGTGTGTTGCCAGGACCGAAGGTGAGTATCGGAATGGGCAGCGGTAGGGTAGGCCTCCGGAGGTGGAGGTCCGGAAGTCAGGTTGGGGTCAGGTATGCACAGATATGACAGGTGCATGGCTCCGTTGGCGTTGTGCTGGGCTCCCTTTCCACCTCAGGATGTTCAGTCTCTCCTGAAGTTTCCGCAGTTTTGTCCTGAAGGACCCGAGGACTGTCTGCTGTGGCTGTTGAGTTGTGGCTTGTCTGAGTATGGATTATGTACTTACTCGCATTAGCCAATCTTAATGCAACTGTGTGATTGCCTGCATCAGCAAACCTGGATGCGGAGGCCTGAGAGCTCATAGAGCTCATAGAGCTCTCAGAGTTTCAGTACTTTGAAATTGCAGGTCCCTTCTCTCAGAGCTCCCCAAAGTAGTCAAAGCTCCGAAAAGTAGTCAAAGCTCATAGAGCCATATTTGCACACAGGGGACTATTATCTATATGAGCTCCCTGAGTATTTAATTTATCCGATATCAAAAATTAAAATTTAAGAGCATTGACTCTGGCATCATGTGATGAGTCACAGCCAAGTCCCTACCATGCAGGAAACTGAACAAACCAAGCTTAACTTTCAGCCCCCAATGCGGCACTACACACCAAGGGTATATAGCCAAATTAATATATAGACCAAATTTAGGGATATACATATATAGTTAATCTGAAATTACTCAAGGAAAATGCGGGAAAATGAGTGGAGAAATGGGGGGGAAAATGAGGGGAAATTTGAGGGGGGAATGGGGGGAAATTGAGGAGGGAATTGGGGGGGGTGAATGAGGGGGTGAATGAGGGGGGGATGAGGAGGGGAATGAGGAGGGAATGAGGAGGGGAATGAGGGGGGAATGAAGGGAAATTTGAAGGGGGGAATGGGGGGAAATTTGGAGGGGGAATGGGGGGGGAAATGAGGGGAAATTTGAAGGGGGAAATTTGGAGGGGAGAATGGGGGGGAATGGGGGGAAAATTGAGGAGGGAATTGAGGGGAAAATTGAGGGGGGAATGGGGGGGAATGAGGGGAAATTTGGAGGGGGAATGGGGGAGAAATGGGGGGAAATTGAGGTGGGAATTGGGGGGGGGGGAATGAGGTGGGGAATGAGGGAAAAATTGAGGGGGGAAATGGGGGGGGAATGAGGGGGAATTTGAAGGGGGAAATTGGGAGGGGGGAATGGGGGGGAATGAGGGGAAAATCGAAGGGGGGGATGGGGGGGAAATTGAGGGGGGGGATGAAGGG